TTTCAGTTCCATCTTTTTACATCATTCTTCTCCTGGGAAGTTGATCATGAAGCCATTGACTTTGCTGAATCTGTATTACTTCTCTCCTCAGATCTCCCATTTCTGCGCCGCATTCGGGTAGTATTTCTCATGTCAGCTTTCTAAACCACAAAGATTTCAGCGGTCTCCATTCTGCTTTTCAGTTGTTACAATTTTTCATATTGTGATTGTGCTCCCTGTTACCTGAGTATGTAAATGCATACATGCTATTTATTGATCAGGCTTCTTTCAAAATAGTGGCATTTGGCCCGGGTTTCTCTGAACGCCTCTCCCTGTGCCAGGCCTCCTGGGGCCTCAGATGCATGGGGGAGGCACAGAGAGAGGGACTCTGGGTGCAGCAGCCCGGCTGTCCAGTGAGCCACGCCGGATACAGTGTGAGGCATTTACCGGAAGGTGCAGAGCCACTGGGCAGCCAGAACGTGAGTAGCCGAAATCCCAGAGGGAGGAGCACAGCAGAGCGGCTGGGTTTCTGTGACATGGTCCCTGCAAGTCACTGTCACAGCTGAGAGACCGAGGAGTTGAGCGGGCACAGAGGTCTGTGGAGATGAAAACCAGAGGTCAGACCCACAGGAGGAGAAGCAGTCAGAGGGATGCTCCCATCCCAGCAAGTTTGGCCCAGACCAACCACGAAGGGAATGTGAAAGAGGCTGCAGCCAGAGTGGCCACAGGGCTCTGGGCATCCCGCCGCGGCACCCCGAAGGGCTCAGTCGCCAGCCCCACCCCACCCCCGTGGTGGAAGAGGGAGCAGGGGGACAGGGCTCTGACCGCCCCACCTGTCAGCACCGCAGTCCCTGCAGCAGCCCCACCGCCCCGGCGCCCCTTGTGCAGAATGTCAGGAGCCAGTGGCGGTGCACAGGCTTCAGGAAGGAGCCCCTCTGCCCATAGCGGCCCCATTAGCGCCAACCTGAGGCGCGGGGACCCTGACAGGCCAAGAGGGGCAGGCAGGAGAGACTGCCGGCCCAGAGCGGGTACAGGCGGGGCCATTTTTGGCATGGGTTTGTTAACATCATAAACAGAGAAGAATAAGAAATAATTATTTTCAGGCTCATAGCCAAGAAAACTAGTTTTCCAAATTAATCCAGTGAGAGCTGTGAATCCACAATCTCTCATGTCATACATCATAAAACTCCGTCGTGATCCATAAAACTGACATGACCCATCAAGAGGCCAGCTCCTCCCGCAGACCCTCATTAGGCCGGCGTCTGTGACCTCGTGTCCCTCCCGACTGCTGACTGCTGGGATCAAGACCAGCTTTAATTCAAATTCAGCAATTAAGGGTCTGGGGCACCAGCCAAGTTTTGCTCAGCCTTGGAGAAGAGCCGAGGTGACTGGGGCTGGGCCACGCGGAGAGATGACCTACCCCTGCCCACCATCCAAAGAGGACACAGCCTTGGTGAAGGTGGGGCGGCCCTCACCCCCGCATCTGTCATCCCCCTCCTTCCTGGGCCGCTCCCTCTTCACATGTTTCCGCAGTAGCAGCACCAGACGGGGCTGTCTGCTCTCGGGGCTTCGTAGACACACCTGTCAAGCCACCTGGATGGGGAAATGATGGCTCTGCCTGTCTCGTGACTGTTGGCTTGTTACAGTCTTGAGTCTTTCAGAAATGTGTCCACTGGGTTAGGTGTGCAGATGTGTTTATGTTGAACTTCATGAAATTTCCTTTTCATTCCTCGTTTCTGTGGTGATTTTACCATTTTCATTGTGGGTTCTGTTTATTTGCTCTTGTTTCATCTTTTTCTCAAAGTCCCTTCTGAAGAGTGTCTGTCTGCCCGTTCTGCTCACGTGGCAGATGCCCATGCTCTGGCTTTCCGGCTCCACTCCTGTCTATCCCTCGTTTTTTGTGTGGGTCTCTGGCCTACACAGCTCCTCCTCCGGCTCCAGGCTCGTGTTTCCTCTTTTCAGAGGCCCAGGCTTGAGGCAGCTCATTTCCCTGCAAACACTTGAACTGTGGCCACTGTGGACCCGCCCCATGCCCTCAAGAGCCCAGTCATCCCAGACTCCTGATCCTTCCCAGTTGCTCCAGCTCCTCCACTACTCCTGGAAGCTGTGGCCACCTTTCTGCTCTTCCCAGAACTTGGGACTCCTGTTGGCCTGGCCCCATTTGCCCTCATACCTTTCTCTCCTCCTGGGCTGGTTCCTGGGCCTGCAAGGGAGCCGGCCTGATCGACTCCATACTGAGTCTCCACGACGAGAGAACTCTGAACCTCACCTCACACTACACATGGGAAACTAACTCAAATGGGTCAGAGCTCCACCTATAAACCTTTTAGAAGAAGATCTTTATGACCTTGGGGTAGGCAAAGATTTCTTAGATTTAAAAAAATTGATAACTTGGACTTCACAAAAAACTAAAACTTCACCTTTTCCAAAGATAACGTGACAAAAATGAAAAGGCAGGCCACCAGCTGGCAGAAAATAATCACAACATACACATATCGGACAAAGAACTCTTACAACCCAAGGAATTGGCCAGTTGTTTGGTTTTTTATAATGGGAAGAAACTTGAACAAGTATTTCTCAGAGAACACGTGAAGTTCAGCAAACACAGGAAGAGACCCCTCAAAGGTCGCTGCTGATAGGGAACACCAGGTAAAATCAGCAAGCTTCTGCTCACAGTCCCGGACGGAGGGCTAAGGGCGTCCAGGCTGAGCCAAAACTAGTTGACATCTCTGCATAAATATTCATGGAAACTTGACTCATGGTAGTTAAAGGTATTTAAGACCTGGGTGCACCCGATGCTCACCAGAAGACAGGTGGGCACCCGCACGTGTCCCTCTGTGGCGTGTGGGATGTCCCGCAGCCCGGGAGTGCAGGTCTCAGAGCCGGGAGCGGAGCCGGGGAACCGAGTTCTGGAACAGGCAGAATAACAGGCCATGACAGAAGTCAGTTCAGAGATGTCAGGGTAGGGAATAGGGGGTTGACAGAAACAGACCCCAGGAAACTTTCTGGAGTGGAAGTTCTGGATTTTGTCGTGATTTACACAGAAGTAAACATGTCAAAAGCCATTGAACTATATATGCTAAAAATGGGTGCATTTTTCATTCATATCAATAAAATTGACTTAAAAAGTAAGAATGAAGACATCCATATCCATGTCACATTGATCCCTCTGTCTCCTGTTCCTGCAGTGTCAGCAGCGTCCTGTCTCCATGGTGAAAATGTTCACTGTGGCCACGTCACTCCTCCTCGGCCTTCAGCCAACGCTGTCTGTCCTGACACCTTGCACTTCCAGGACGCCCGTTGGTCCCTAGTGAGCTCACATTCCAGGGGCACCCGCCTGGCCAGGGGCACCCCTCATGGGCCAAGACCTCCCATCACCACCGTCAGGCCCGCTCTTACAGGGGCCGCCGCCCTTGCAGTCCGGCCTTCCCGGAGATACGAGGTCGTGCCCCCAGCCACACCCTGACACGCAGGCTGGCGGGGCCTAAGCCTCCCCACCTCCCAGCCTGTCAGCCGCTGTGGTCATTTGGGGTCTTCCTCACCGAGGAAGCTCTATGTCGGCAGGGCCTGTGGGTCCCTGGAGGCTTGGGGAGGAGTGGCCTCCGTCTGGGGCACCTGGATAGGCCGTGAACCCAGAAGCCTCCCCTCCCTTCAAGTGAGGACCATTCACTCCCTGTTTCCCGCCACCCAACAACAGGGCATAATCAGGCCACAGGTGTTATTCTCAAGTCTCTAAGACAATTTATAAAACGTGCCCTGCCAGAAGGAACTCCAGGCTGCAGTCCCCTGAGACAGGCTGCGTGGGCGGGAGATCCCCGCGCTGTCGGTGCCTCGCCCATTCATGACCTCAGTTCTAAAGGCCAAGAGTCTCGGTCCCTTTGAGGGCGATTCTGATTGGAAGGCCTCCGTGGGTCACCAGGCCAGCACCATTGCCACAGAGATGAACCTGGTGGGTCCAGGCAAGGTTCACTGCCCGGGCCACCATTTTCAGTGGGATTTCTGGGGACATGCCAGTTTCTCACCAGACACATTTGGGCTTCCTGGACCTTGTGACACCCAGCCACACCCCGGACCCTGCACCAGCAGCAGCTGGGGCAGCTCAAGGCCTCTGAGGAAGGGCGGTGACCAGCCTTCCAGACAGCTGCCCAGCAGACAGCCCTGGACTGGCCCTGTTCTCGTGGCCACTGTAAAAGCACAAGAAGATGGGCTCCATCTAAGCGGCACCCAAGGGGAGCACTGTACGCACAGGTTGCCAGAAACCTGCCACGCCCATCCTAGTGGATGCTCAGGCCTAGGGGGCAGCCTCATACATGGCCACGAGGGTGTGGAGGACAGGGCACGGACAGGCAGGTGTCCCGCCGTCTTCCCTGACCTTGACGGGGAGCAGCGGAACCCCGCCCACCTCCCGCTTCTGGTGTGAGAGCCCCCTCCTAGGGGAGGGCACATGCTGCAGGGTCCTACCTGGGCCTGTATTGATTAATAATCACCATAACAACTGCCACAAACACACACCACAGCATCAAACAATACACATTTGTTACCTCACAGTTCTGTGGGTCGGAAATCTCGATGGTCTTGGCTATGGTCTCAAGCAGAGCCCCAGAGGCTGGAATCGAGGTGTCAGCAGGTGAGGCCTCGCTGGCGACTCTGGGAAGAATCTGCCTTCAAGGTCATTCAGGGCACGTCCTTGGAGCAGACATCTAGAAAGGACAGGTGTGCGCCCAGGGGTGGGGAGCAGGGCCTGGACCATGGCCTCCTGCCGCCCTGATCCCTCAGGAGAGGGTATAGGCACCCACGTGTGCTTCTGGGGAGAAACTGGAAACCCTCAGCCCAGCGCGTCTGAGTGTGGAATCTGAGTCACTGCTGAGTTGCTGGGCGGCGGTGGAGTGGGTAGAGCACAGGCAGCTGGAGGGGACGGCCAGGCTGCCGCCCACACGAGCACCCCAAGCCCTGAGTTTGGCAGGGGCAGCTCTGCTTGGTCTCTGCTCAGCCCAGGGTTGAGAAACTTCTCTGTCCCTCAGGTGGTCCTCATTGTTAGCGGGAACCTGAGCTTCCTGAACTGGCTGACCATTGTTCCCAGTGTCGCCTGCTTCGATGACGCCACCATCGGGTTCTTATTTCCCTCTGGGCCTGGCAGCCTCAAGGACCAAGTCCTAAAGATGCAGAAGCAGGAAACCCGGGAGGCCCGGCCTATGCTGACGTACGGTGGGTGGACCCCTGGGGACATGAACACAAGGCCTTTATCCCCGGACCCAGGGTAGTTGGTCCCTAGAGGTGCTGGCCAATTCTTATTTAGTGGCAACCAGGCCCAATCCATGAGGGCAGTTGTCATGACTCGGTTTCCACGTCAGCCTCAGAAGATGTCCTTAGCTGGGGGAAACGGAGGTGATATGCAGAGGCCCCTTCCAGGAATCCCAGGCAGGGGGGCCAGTGCACTGCCCTCAGCCTCTGTGAACCCGGAGGGGCCAGACCAAGACCAGGGCCTGGGGGCCAGCTGAGGGGTAGGGGATGGGCTTGGCTCTTCCCTGCGGTTGAGGTCTGGGCCTGGGGGGGCGGAAGCTTACCAGCTGCCTCCCTCTCTCCGGGCCCAGGCTGCCTGGCGCGACAGGCGGCCAACCTGGCACTGGGCATCCTGATCGCCTGGCTCAGCATCCCCGTGGTCCTCAACTTGCTGAGCCCCAAGCAAGTCATGAACAGCTCCTTCAACCCCCTCAGAATTGTCAACACATATGGAGCCTTTGGAAGGTACTATACAGTCCCCAGGGGTTCCCACCTTGGCTGACTCTGCAACCTGGATGTGATCTCTCCTTGTTTACCATGTGGCAGACCCATGGGAGACCCCTGGTCAGGGAGACCCAGCCCTGACCAGCCAAGTGGGCAACCTTGGTTCAGGGTGGGTCCTACCCCCGGGGCTGGCCCCCACCTGCTCCTGCTCCTGCTCCTGCTCCACCCACAACCACAGCTCCAGCCTCATCCTGGTCTGACCAGGGCGGGGAGGGGGCGGGGAGGGGGTGGAGAGGCGCAGCTGCCCTGCCTGCATTGCCCAGAGGCCAGCCCATGCTGACTCGGTCTCCGCGACAGCATCACCAGGGAGCGAACAGAGGTCATCTTGCAGGGCACAGCCAGCCCCAACGCCAGCGCACCAGACACCGTGTGGGAGGACTATGAGTTCAAGTGCAAGCCAGGCGACCTGAGGAGACGGCCATGCCTCATCTCCCCCTACCACTACCGCCTTGACTGGCTCATGTGGTTCGCGGCCTTTCAGGTAAGGGCCTTCTCCCCCTGCCTTCCATCCCCTCAGCCTTGCACATCCAGGTGCTCAAGGTGGACTCAGGCTCCAGTCACTCCAGCATCCCCAAGGCTGTAGCATCCTCCAGAGGGACACCTGGGGTCCTGGAAACACCTGCTACAGGGCTGGTGGGAGAGGCAGGTGGGGGTGAGATCAGGCCCCACTGGAAACAGCATTACAGCCTCCGCGGCACTCGGCCACGGGCGCTCACTCAGCCCCCGCTGTGACTGGCCTGACACAACACACCTGGGCCCCTGAGGGCGGGTCGGGCTAGTGGGACGTCAGCTGCGAGGCAGCTCCTGGTCCCAGCCCTCAAGGCAGAAGTCAGTACACCACTCAGCTACTGAGGAACAAGCCAGGACGTGCCACCTGAGATCCGGGGCCAGGCAGTAGCATATGACAACACTGTCTCAGGTTCCCACCCACCCAGGGCCAGGTCTTGCCCCTTGAGCAGCCTAGACCCAGGCAAGCATCTGGTTATGGCAGCGGCTCCAGGGCCAGGCTTTCCTCCGGGTCCTGCCTTGTGCCCCACTGCACACACGGGCTCTGCCCCTGGACGGCAGTGGCGCCCCTCAGGCACAGGTCCCCAGGGGCCTCCCTCGGGTACCCTTGCACGAGGACCAGGCACCACAGTCAGCTTCTCAAAGGCCCTCTGCCAGAAATGACAAGACAGGCACGGCCGCTGCCAGGGCAGCCGAAATTTACAGAGCGGTAGCTTGGGCCAGAGAGCCTGGAGGCGCCGCGCATCTCCCGCTGACCCATCTCGCCCACTGTGACAGCCTCAGGGAGGCTCCATCACTTGCCTGAGAGCCCAGGGCTGCCACATGACAAAGCCAAGAGGTGAGCTGGCATGGCTGGGCCCTGTGCCTGCTGCACCCAAGTTACCCGAGGACAGAACAGTGAGGCAGGGGACTTGGCACATGAATGAACAATTCATGGACACCCGGCTGACCGATGAGAATGGAAGCTGGCAGCCCCTCTGGGGGGAACCTGCACCAAAGCAGCGGGGCGGGGCGCCCGGGGCAGCCCACTGGCCACACTTCGGTCTGACGCCCGCAGGACAGCAGACTGATGGAGGGAGTGAGGCGGCAGGGCCCTCTGGAGGGAGCCAGTGGAGAGCACACCATCTCCTGAGGGCCCTTGGGGGTCACACCGCCAGAGTTCCTGCCCACGACAGGGAGCCCAGCGCCAGCCCAGGGACGGCGCCCAACACCCCTCCTCTTGCCTCCAGACCTACGAGCAACACGAGTGGGTCATCCACCTGGCGGGCAAGCTCCTGGCCAACGACGCCGAGGCTCTGTCCCTGCTGGCCCTTAACCCCTTTGCAGACAGGGCCCCCCCCAGGTAAGATTCTTTTCCCACATGGGACCCCCACCAACTAGAGCCTCAGCTGCCTCTGAGGGCTACTCCCTCAAATGCAGAATGTGCTCTGGGGGCCAGACCCCCATCTCCTGGATACGTGCTGGGGAGCAAAGGTCCACAGGCCCTCAGGTGACCCCCTTTCACCAGCACCGCTCACGTGCTAAAAGGATGCGGGCTTCTGGGGAGGGGGTTGGGCCCCCTACAGCAAGTCCCGTCCTTCAGTCCTGCTGGGTCCGGGAGCCTGCCGCTGAGCACTCAGCCTTCCTTGAGGCCAGACACCCCGGGGTCTCCTTTTCTGGAGCCCTGCCTGCCCCCGCGTCAGGCCTGGGGCCTGGTTGTGAGGGGGCTCCTCATGGGCCCCTCTGGCCTCCCTGAGCAGCCTCTCTCCGCCCTCCCCACCAAGAAGCGTCTGGACAGACACCCAGCCCCTCCTGGAGTGCAAACCTGGGACCCTGAGCCTGGGGCCCCCTGAGGAGCCGAGCCTCAGCAGGCAGAGGCTGCTGCTGCAGGCAGGGGCTGCTGGCTGACGCCCACCCTTCCTGCAGGTGGGTCAGGGGAGAGCACTACCGGTACAAGTTCAGCCGCCCCGGGGGCCTGCACGCTGCGGATGGCAAGTGGTGGATCCGGAAGAGGATCGGCCCCTACTTCCCTCCGCTCAGCCTCCGGGACCTGAAGGACTACTTTAGATCAAGGGGGTGGCCGTACCCAGAACTGGAATAGAGGGGTCCAGGCCCAGTGCTCTGAGAAATAAAGTGGGAAGACATTGGCACCCAGCGCCACCGCCTGCACTCTGACGTCCAGGAAAGCAAACCGGGAGGCGGGTGGCGTCGGGGGCCTGCTGGGGGCCTGGATGGCCATCGGTTCCTCTCATCCCTCACAGCTGGTCCCAGGCAACTCAGGAAGCCCCTGCCCACCACCCCCCTACTCATCTCCCTTGTCACTAGGCTCCCTCAGATGGGACCACAGTGTCCCAAGAGAGCTCTGGTTGACCTGGGACCGCCAGTACCCATTACACAGCCTCAGTTCCTCCGAATGCCCTGGTTGGGGACGGGTGTTCCCCTCGGGGTCCACAGCAAGCCCTCAGCCCTCTGCAGCATGTCCCTGCTGTGTGTGTGGCCGGGTGTGGCCGCGAGGGAAACCTCTCACCCTGCCTCCTCCACACTCACCGCGTCCAGGATAAGGACTGAGACAGTGGTGGGGCGGGGACCCAGGGTTCCCTCTCTGCCCTCGTGCCCACTCCCTGCTCGGGACACCCACAAACCCCGCACACACCCCTCCAGGCCAACCTGGGCCCTGCTTTCCTCCCCAGTGGCCAGAGTCCAGAAGCTGTTTGTGCCTCTCTTGGGCGGGCCGCCCCCACCAGACCCTGAGCAAAGTGCCCCCTCACACTTCTTTGTGACCAGGTCCCCCAGTCATACACTATGGAGCCTCCTGCTCCCTGACCTGCTGGGTGAGGGGACAGCAGAGTACTCAGTCCCGGCCTGGGAGCTGGGGTGGCAGGGGTCCCCTCGGTGGCAATTCTAAGGCCCACTTGCTAGAAGTTAAGCTGCATTAGTTTTTGCTTGGCAAGCCTGGGGCCCCACTGCAATGAGGACTGGGGTGCAGCCCAGAACCTTCACTGCCCAACGGGAGTTGTAAGTGAAGGGGGCGGTGTCCTGCGGACGAGCCAAGCACCCAGCGGCACCGCCCTAACCCTGGTCAGCCAGGCTGAGGGATCCTGAGGGGGTTGGATCCAGCCCCACCCAGGGGTCAGCAGGCCGGGGCTGCCAGGCAGCCCTCCCTTCCCCCCTGGCTGGCAAGAGCTAGTGGGGATGGCCACCCACCCCTTCCTCCCACCCCACCCCTGATGGGCCAGGGAACCTGGCCGTGCCGCGGAGGGCCCCGGAGAGGTGGGCCGGGCCAAGAGGCTGTGATGAGGTGGGTACAAGTGCAAGTCTGTGTGAAACAGACCCCCACCCGCCTGGGGGTGCAGCCCAGGTGCCAACAGAGAGGCCGTGTTCCTGCTCGCAGGGAAACAGGCGCCCTGTGTCTGTAGCGGGACAGACAGAGCCTCAGACAAGGAGCCTGGAGCCAGCAAGTCTGCCTGCGGCAGCCAACCACCAGCCACTGCCTGGGCAGCCCTTCCTGGGGGGGCCGTCCTGGGGGCTCTGCCAATGGGTGGGGGCACCAGAGGGCCTGAAGAGACCCTGCACCTTGGCTCTGGTGGGGCTCCACACCCCTGCCCAGCACCTCGGGTGGCCTCCCTGCCAGGAGCCATGCCGGCTCCCCCCGCCGCTCCCCCCGCCTCTGGGCTCACTGCCACCCAGGGCTACACAGGGGAGGCCCCTATGACCCAGCATCGTTGACTGTGGACTCCTCTCTGGGTCTCCATCCAGCCATGTCCCCAAAGCCTCCAGGGCTCCCAAGACCCGCACAGGAGGCGATGTCTGGGCCGGCGGACAGGACTGGAGCCACTGGCAGGGTGTCATAGGCGGCCCCTTGGCTCAAGAGCCCTCAGGGACCAAACAACACTGTCCCCATTCTGGGACAGGACAAACATCCGCTCACCTGAGGGTCACAGGTCGCTCCCGGTCCAGGCTGTGAGAGCGCAGTGGCCGGAGTGAGGCTCTACCTTCTGACACAGGAGGACCCATCAGACCCGTTTCTCCCCCAGCCTCTTCTCCTTCCAGAGGCTCAGGTGTTCCCCCCACACCCACCGACCTGCCAGCAGCCTTTGGAGCCTCTCCTGAGGCCACCCCCTCCCATCCAAGTGAGTCAGACTGAACCTTCTTCCCCTCAGGACCCTCCCACAGCCCCGCCTCCCTGAGCGGGAACCTGGGGTCACTGCCCGCCTGAGCCACACCCTGCGTCCTCTGCATTCCTCACGCCCGCTGGCCATCAGGCCTTGGGGGCCGCACGCCTCCGGGCTGTCTCACCCGCCCTCACCGGGCCCCAGGCTGCTCCTTCTCATGCTCTAGGCTGGTAGGGATCTTGGCCTGGCTCCCCAGTGCCAAGTGGCACCAATACAGGCTCACTGGATAAACCGTCCACCTAATGGTGGGCAGGAAAAGACCCAAACGCTGTTCCCTTCTGCTCCGCTTGACATTGCCCTCGCTCCAGCCTTATGAGAATCTGCTGTTTCTTGGTCAGCTGTAGAGAAACTTCTAGAAGGGAGGGGGTGTTCTGGGACATGAGGCGAGGGCATTAGCTCACCTTTCCTCCAGACAGCTGAGTCTGGGAGAATGGGGGCACATTCTTCCTCCCTCACTCTCTCCTCCCGAAATCGCCCACCTGGGATACCGGTGCCTATAGGTGAGATCTCTCTGCCCTACCCGGTAGGAAGCGCAGTGTCTGTTGAAAACTGAATGTGCACCAAACTCAGGTAAACATGCCTGTGTTGGCCACCTGTGCCACTGCCTTCTCGCAGGAAAGTGAGACTTGGGACTCCAGACACCAAGGCACCATCCAGCAGACAGTGGCTGTGCCCAGATGTCCCATTGGGCCTAGCTGTTGGCCCTGTCCAGAGCAGCAGGCTTAGCCAGGGGCTAAGACTCACATCTTCCCTCCCCTCTTGCCAAGTGAGGGACAAGGGACACAGCTCACATTGCACATGAGGTGGGGTATGTGCAAACCTTCATCAAGCCAAAGGGGCTTGTGGCGTCTTACTTGCTGAGATGGTTTCTCACTCACTTGAAGATGAAGAAATGCATTTTTGGTACCTGCACAGGCAATGCATATGCTCCTCTCAGCCTCACTCAGGTGAGACACTCATCCTCAGAGATTGACTTCCAAAGCCACCGGGTAAACTGGAACTCAATATATCAGGAAATCAACCTTTAAAACTCTTAAGGTAATCAATGAAATTGGCAAACCTTTGGCTAGACTGACAGAGAAGATGCAAATCTAAAATTTTTTAAAGACTTTATTTACTTTTAGAGAAAGGGAAAGGAAGGGAGAGAGAGAAGGAAACACCGATGTGTGAGAGAAACATCAAATGGTTGCCTCTCATACGCACCCCCACCAGGAACCCAGCCTGCAACCTGGGCATGTGCCCTGCCTGGGAATCAAACTGGCAACGTTTTGCTTTGTGTTACAACATTCAACCAACTGAGCCACAGTGATCAGGGCAAATAACTAAGATTTTTTAAAGTAAGGGCATTAATATTAACCTTATAGAAATAAAAATATAACAGAGTACTATGAACAATTATATGCAAACATATTAGATAACCTACATGAAATGGGCAAATTCCTAGAGACACACAAACTACTAAAAGTGATGGGAAAAAATAAAAAATTTTAAAGGATCTATAACAAATAAAGAGATTAAATTAGTAATCAAAAACCTCCAAACTGAAAAATACTGGACCAGAAGGCCAGTATTTTTTGTAAAGTTACTGAACTTTACCAAGAATTTAATTAATACCAATCCTTCTCAAACTCTTTCAAAAACACTTCCTAACTTACCCTTTGAGGCCTGTATTATCCTGTTAAATCCAAAGGCACCAACATACTTTATGAATACGGATGTAAAAAACCCTCAATAAAAGGACTAGCAAAACAAATCTAACAACATACTGGAAGGATCATACACCATGACCAAGTGGGAATTATCCGAGGAATGTCAGAGCGGTCCGGCATAGGAACATCAACCGATTCAACACACCACGCAAACAATGCAGAGCCACGTGACACCTCAACTGACAGGGGAAAATGCATTTGACAAAATCCAACATCCTTTCACATAATAAAAGACATTTATGAAAAATCCACAGCTAACACACTCAGGACCAAGACAAGGATACCTGTTTTTACCATGGCTATTCACCAGAAAACTGTCTCTATTCACAGATGACAAGATCCTATAGACAGGCATGTACTGCTTAACAATGGGGATACTTTCTGAGAAATGAGTCATTGGGCAATTTTGTCATTACATACACGCAAACCCACATGGCATGGCTGACTACACATCTAGGCTCTGTGGCAGGACCCACTGCTCCGAGGCTACAAACATTTATAACAAGTTACTATACAAAACAACCAGAGAGTAAATCAAGCTCAAGAGAAAATGATGCAATCAAGAGACCAGCAAACACAAGATATAAGAGTCTGCTGCCACCAGCGTGACATGACATACTGCTTTCCAGCCAAATTTTTATTTTATAAGTTGAAAAAATACACTCTAAAACAATGATAAAATATATAACGCATACATAAGCCAGTAACAGAGTCATTATTACCAAGTATTATGTATGTGCCATGATTGTATCTGCCATACTGCTAGATGCCTGTCCTCACAGGTTTGTCTACACTAGCATCACCGCTAACACTGTACTGTATTGTTACTGTGCTATGACATCACTAGCCGATAGGAATTTTTCAGCTCCATTATAAAGTTTTGTGGCCACTGTTGTATATGTGGTCCGTCGTTGACTGAAACATCATTATGTCCTGCATGACTGTATAGAAAATTCCAGTGATCCACCAAATCACTGCTGTGGTTAATAAACTAACTCAGCAAAGTTGCAGGGTACAAGATCAGCACACAAAAATCAGATGTGTTTGTACACGCTAACAATGAACAATCAGAAAAAGAAACTAATGAAACAATTCCATTCACAATAACATCCAAAAGAATAGAATATGTGGAAATAAACCTAACTAAAGAGGTGAAAGAAAAACTTGTACACTGAAAACTATAAAACATTGCAAGGAGAAATTAAAGATGATCTAAATACAAGGAGAGGCATCTGTGTTCATGGATTGGATG